TTTCTAATCTATTTGTTCTTACTTTTCATTTCCTCCTTAGTTACTATGTTTGTTACATTACTATTATAGTAGCTTCAATCATTGTTTAATAAGATAGACAGACTTGGCAGCAATGTAACATGAATATATTGAATGCCTTATGGGGATATTAGAATTGAAAATACACATTTTATGGACTACTAAGACATATGAGAGATGTAAGCAACTCTGACAAGTGCTTATAGAAAAGTCTTAATGAATTCATGATTGAATCAAATTCATTGTAAGCAGGCTAATGGTTTTTCAATGGTACTTCCTCATCTGTGAGACCTTTTGAACTGTAGACCCTTTTAATCCATATTAGATTTCTTCAAATTTATGTCATCATTATGAATAATTTGAGTTGTAATGTGTCTAAGAGTGATCTTTTTTAAAAAATAAAATAATGATTGATATATCAATTGCTATTTCTGCTATGTATTTCAGATTTAGAGGTATATTCCTCCAGATCTTAAATACATAGTAATATAAAGGTAATTTTTTACAACCTAAAATAATGTTAAAAATTAAATCCTATTATTTTGGTTTTTTCATGTTATTTTCTCTTTATTCTATGAATTAAGTGCGTCTTGCCCAGCAAATAAGAACTGAGCATAGGGGTGGTACATACCTCATCCCAACATTAATATGCACATTTGGTTAATGCTGTTTGATGGCTTAATTAAGATTTCAGATTCTCTTAAAAATGTAAGAATTAATGATGGCATAGTTCATAATAAAAGACAACATAAAGGATCTACTAAAGATGGAAAAATGTGTGCTGGCCACATTTTACTTACTACACATTTTATGTTATTAAGGCAATGAGTGCCTAGGATATGGGTGACACAATAAGACAATTTCAGGGCAGGTTTTTTTTAAATAATAGACACAAACTTTGTCCCTTTGTATAAAGACATTAGAAATTGGAATATGGTGTTTAAGATATTACACAATTATGTGTGTTGCCAGTTCCTCCAATCTTTTTTGTGGAGGAAAGATTGCAGGATAGACTTCTAGATCAGAAACAAATGTCTATTGTGTTTACTCAGTTCCCACTCTGGGCAGCCCAGAATAGAGGGATTTTTTAAATTTATAATTAAAAAAACAATGTTATAATTAAATCGGTACAAAGAAGTAACATTTAAACAATCAAACAAAGCAACAGGCAGAGATTGCTAATCTGTCCTCTTTGCAGATAATTTCAAAGCTTGGGACAGCCACACATAGTCACCCAACAAATATGCCTCTGACTGTGAGAGGATTCTGAAAAGGCATTTTCCAAAGAATTGAAACTCCAGGAAAACCTTTTAAGGAGAGCACAGTCTTTGAAATAGCCTGGTCCTAAGTGATGTCAATGTTTATACATCATAACTAGTACTTTGAATTGTTCCTGGAAATAGATCAGAGTCATCTCTTCTCTACACCACCTGGCCCTAATCAATAGTCTGGCTACAGAATTCTGTAGTTTCCAAATTTCAAAGGCAGAACATTTTACTGAAGTCTAAATAGAGTGTAATTAAGGCTCAGATCACTGTATTTAATTCTGAGGTCTCTAGGAACACACATACGTAACAAATCTAGGAGTACATTGAATCTTCAGATCTGAGACTTCAAAGAAAGTATGATTTCACCCCAGATTTCATTCCCTGAACTGATTTTTAGACTGACCAGGGAGATTTTTCTGAATTGCACTTTTGTTTAATTGCTTTTATCCAGTTCATGGCCAACAACATAATACATTGATTTAGAGTTTAAATAGTTTGTTTAGGCTTCAGTAGAAAGATATATTTTCTGCATAATAATGACACCAACTCCAAAATCCTGGGCCAGTGGTTGCCAGATATTGATGTTAGATTCCACCAAATACTCTATTAAAAAAATTTGTCCTACCATGACAAAAACAAATAGGCATGTTTTCCAAGAGGGCATGTTTATGTTTACAAATAATGTTATTGTTACGTTCAAAAAGTATGGTTATACATAGTAATGTTTCCACCTTGTATACATATATAGAAATGAAGTCCCAACAAGCTCTATTGAGTTTATTTCTGACCAGATTTGAACTTGAATGGTGGCTTTTATTGTATTTGCTAAGAAAATAACTTGACATATTTTTGCTTTAATAGCCTGAAAAAGATGGTAGAAAAAGCCTAAAGCTAGAATAGAATGAAGTCTTACTGGTGCCAAATGATTGCCAATAAATGCCAGTAAACTTGTGAGTTTGGAAAATGAAGATAACTCTAGGTGCATTAAGGTGCTGCCTATTGTATTTCCTTCCTCTTCCTCTTTTTCCTCCATCTGATATTGATAGACTGAGCAGGAGTTGGGATAACTGGCTTACTGAAGCCACCTACCATCTCTGGCTTCTAACCTGTGGAAAAACTCAAGGAGGCAATTTATGGATTGGCAATGTGTGCAAAGGGAGTACGCTGGATTCAGTGAGGAGCTGGTGTAGCAGAACCTCCGGG